AAATTTTGGTTACTCTGATTTTTAAAAAGAATAATTGGCTCTCCTCTAGGTATTTAAACAATTTTTAAAACTCAAGAAGGATATCCACTTACCATTTCCTCCACCTGTTATTAAAATTAATTTCTTGCTAGCTTACCCTTAAGTTTGAAATCAAAATCTTTAAGGTAGGCAGTAACATACAAAGACACTTAAGCTTTTGAGTTTTGTTGTCATTGTTCATTTGTTGCTTTGTTATGTTTTGTTTTGGTGGATTGGTTAGTTTTAAATTTTCTTCTATAATGTAAAATGAACATTAAAGACAACACAGGCTGGGGATGTAACTCATCAGCACAGCACCTGCCTGGCAGGCATGAGGCCCTGAGTTCAATTCCTGGTACTAAAAAAGACTGTAATTTTTAAAAAGCTAAAAATTCTGTATCATTTAAAATATGAATCCAGTTTTAAAGCATTCCAATTAAAACCTATCTGGACTTTTTATTTCTCACTGGCACAGTAAGATACTGTAAGAAAATACCAATAATTACAAAAATGCCATACTTGAATCATTTTTCAAGTTCACAGTTTATAAGCAAGCCTATAATAAAGAAACCTGTTTACCTAGATAAATGCCACAATTTTCCGTTATCACGAATGCCTTTTTGTTAGTTACATTTAATTATTATGAGAATCCCCCACACTAGTATTTAATCATCATCTTTTGGAAATAGTTTCGTGTCAATATTAGTTTTTTTGTTTTTGTTTTTGTGTTTGGTTTTTTGTTTTTTTTTTGGTACTGGGGATCAAACTCAGGACCTTGAACTTGTGAGGCAGGCAGTGGTACCTCAATATTAGATTTTAATTGATTGATAGAACAGTGCTTTGCATTGGATCACATTAAAAATAAATAATTTTAACAAGCTTCAAATTTAATTTAGTTCCCATTACTTTATCTTAATAATCTGAGCACCCTGTCAACTTTTGGCATTGCTGACAAATCCTTATTGTTAAAGTGAATTTTTGTGTTGTTTTTTGAGACAGGGTCTCACTATGTAGTTGAGACTGACCTGGAACTCACTATGTAGCCCAGGCTGGTCTCAAACTCACAGTGATCCTCCTGCCTCAGCCTCCCGAGTGCTGGGATTACAGGCATGAGCCACCACGCCCAGCTTGTTAAAGTGAATTTTTTAGACCCTGCCTTTGATTTTCACTCCATATTAGTTAGAATTGTAAATGTTCAAAAAAAAAAGAATTGTAAATGTTCAACTTGGAAGGAAAACCAAGAAATACCTTGATCTATGTAATTATTTTTATTATTTTGTTTGAATAAGGAAACCATAGATACAGATATATATTGATTATATATTGATATAGATATAATATTGAATACACACACACACACACACATACACACACACACATACCTGGAAGTTCAATGCAATTCTAGTACTAACTACATGTAATTAGGCTAGCCCAACTTTTTACAAGACTTCTTTTACTTCAGGTACCAGTTATGAGTTCAGGGATCCCAGAAAAACCTTACCTGTGAGCTGGCTGTAAATTTACACATTCCCATTACTGCCTCATATTCAATAATTCATTGGAATGACTCATAAAACTCAGAAAAACACTGTACTTTTACCGTGCCATTTTATGATAGTAAAAAGATACAAATTAGAACCAGCCCAAAGAAAAGGTGAGCTTCCGTATTCTCTCCTAATGGAGTCAGGAGGCCTCTCCTTCCCATCACAATGATGTTTATCTCCAAGTAGAAGCTCATCTGAACTTTGGTAACTGCTGGAGGTTTCATTCTTAGGCTCAACTGATTGAGTTATTGACTATGTAGTTGAATTCACTCTTTCCCTCCCTGGTGGTCAGACAGATATTCTGTGTCTCAGAGCTGCCACTCTTTAATTTCATTACTGATCTTTAAGGTGTGACTGGCTTCCCTCCTGAAATATCTTTACCTCACATTCACTTATGCTTCACTTATGCGTGACCTACTGTGAATAACAACATACTCCTATTTCTCAGAAAATTGCAGGATTCAGAAATTATATACCAAGAGTCAGGAACAGAGATCAGTCAAATTTTTTTATACAAAATCTTTAATGCACTCTAAGAAATGGCTTTGATTTAAAAAAAAATACACTTGAATCTACCCAAAAGATTGTGATGAACCCATTCACAGACATGCCTAATGAATCTGAATGGGCCTGATTATTGGATAGGCTCCCAAAATTCAAATGCAATAAGAACAAAACCCTATAATCATTCATAGCAATGTTGAAATTTTCTGACAAAATGTATATGTACTTAGCAGATATGCATATATTTACAATAAACTAAATTAAAATTAAAATAGCATTTTATTATAGTTATATAAATTTATCTAAGCATTTCACTGTGATAATTAAAAGCCTAATATTGAGTCATAACTTTTCATTGAATATATGAAGTTTTAGTAAGACACTGAAATCGTGGAGTTTGCTTAGATATACTAGCTTGGTTTCCTCAGGTTATCAAATTAACAGTTTTTAACATGTAATTGCTAAAGAATATCCTGTCCATTTGGGAAGGTTTAGCAATATTTTCAAGCTATAAGTATCACCACAGATAAAAGTCTAGATAAACTGTTTTTCCTGGTTGCAGCAATGTATGTTTAATAAATATTTAATAGAAGAGATTTTTGAATTTGCTTTTGAGATTAATCCGGATGATTCAATGTGCCAGTTACTCTTTTACAGAGATATAAATTAACCAACATTTCTGTCTGCATTTCAAAATGAATTATTTAATCATCTACAGTTCACTTTTCAACAGAACAATTTATTAACTTAACAGTTCAGGTTGCTGAAAGCTCATTTATCTGAAAATTCATAATTGGAATGAACAAGGTGATCCTGTGTAACTCAAAGGCAATATGTTCTCTGGTTGCTATTTCAAGCTTGCTTGTGTTTTATATTTTTTTTCAATTTGAAGCAGCATGCAGAAAATATGATTATAAGTCAAGAGTTTGATTTTCCCGAAAGTCAAATTTAGTGTTGAACTATTAAAAGTTTAACATCCTAATTGTGAAGCCATTTATTTTATTCCAGCACTTCTCAGAAATCTTAAATTGCTATAAGATGCCAGCAGTTTATTTAGCCTTAAAATACTTCAAATGTTTATCTTTCCATCCCCCATGACTATTTGATGTTAATTGCCCTCAAAAGTGATCTTAGCAGAGAAAGCAGGGGAATGCTTATTTAGCAGTTCTCTAGTAACATTAAAGATTTTAATGATGCTAGATAAACATAACACGCAATTATTGAATGTTGTTACACAATGGAAAATAAAAGCAAGATGCTAAGCAATGTACTGTTTTTGCAGTTTTGTTTTTATCTCAGTCTCAATTTTGAGTTTAATTTGAGAGATACTTTTTGGAATATGCTACTGCAAAATCATACACTTGACCATACCCAAAAGGTCCTACCTTGATAATATAGTGTCAATCAGTTTGAAATCACATAGGTTAAATCTCACTATTGCCATAATACTTCATATGAAATAGAAACATTGATTGTTACTCTGTGAAGCAATGATATAAAAATCTTTTAATTTCACTTTTATTTACAATTACCGAATAAGAGACTTTGTTGTTGTTGTTGTTGTTGTTGTTGTTTTTGGTTTTGGTTTTTTTTGAGTCAGACTCTCAATATGTAGTTGAGACTGACCCGGAATTCACTATGTAGCCCAGGCTGGTCTTGAACTGACAATAATCCGCCTGTCTCAGCCTCCCTCCCAAGTGCTGGGATTAAAGGCATGTGCCACCACACCCAGCAAGAGACTTATTTTTGACATCATTTTATGTTTAAGGTGAAGAAATGCAATCCTTCTAGAAATATTTCAATAACATTGCCTTTGAAATACTGCAGTCTTTTTTCCAAAGCCAATGATAATATTTGGAAATTACTGGGATTATTTTTGAAATTCATCATACTTTCACAAATATTTTTAAATTATTTGATCACAGAAATTCACTGATTCAGAAATGATGTTAGACAATTTTACAGTTGGATTGCACTTATTAAATTACTACAATTGGACAAATTATTAGTAGTTGAATGAAAAGTTTTTTAGAAGGCATCTCATAATATAATAAATAAATTTATTTCCTGGCTATAGTGTAAGAAAAAGGAAATAGGGTTTGAAATAAATATTAACCCACAATGACAAAGGAGGCTTATTTCACCACCTCAAACCACAGTTAAAAGTATGACATTTAAATCCATCATTGCAATTTATTTGAAAAATAGCTATGCTTTTTTTAAATTTTTGAAATATTATTATGAAATACGCAATTTTTGTTGAACTTTCCTGTTAATAATTATTCAGAGTCAAACCCTCCAGATTACCTGGGACTGATTCCCACTAGTGAAAATCTTTCATTGTCTAGCGTTCCTCATACCAAATTTGTCATCCCATTTTTTTAATGTCTTTATACTTCACTAACGATAGGGTAATGTAACCTCATACTCTCTTCAATTTATCTTCTAGAAATACACCCGAAAAACATGCTTACTTCTGTTTTTCAAAAGACACATGTTCTAGAATGTTCAAAGGAGCATTGTGAACAAGAGATCTGTACTAAACATGAACCTAAACGCTCACTGCAATAGAATGAATAAATAAGTCGTAACATATCAACTCAGCAGCACGCTGCGCATCAACTAGAATGAACCATCTTCAACAATATGGATGAGTTTCTCATCACAGTACATAATGAAGGAGGCTTAAACAAATAGGTATACACTATCTGATCCCACTGACCTAAATTAAAAAAAAACAAAACAAAACAAAAACAAAAACAAAATCTCTTTCACTTTGTAAGAACTCAGGATGGTGATTGCCCTGGTAAGAAAAGACAGTGATAGGAAGGAACACAAAGGAGAGCTATGAAGTGTTAGTTTCTTGAACTTTTTTCATTGAACTTTACCCTCACGAAAGATGCACTCCTGTGTCCAAGGATTGCCATAAAAAGTTTTAAACAGATCGTTCATATCCTTAAAAAAGTTTAGTAGATTATATGAAAAGATACGTCACAAATCTGCTTCTTTTCCAGATTTTATTGGTTCCAGCTGCATCTTAAAACAGTGCTCCATAATTTCAATCCTATATATTCACACACACACACACACACACACACACACACACACACACACACAAAAGTGTTGAAACCTGAGTAGGCATAGTGGACTCTATCGATGTTAATAACTTAGTTGAAATTATACTTTAGTTACCACTGAGGGAACTGGGGAAAGGATAAAAAGAACTCCTCTTTTATTTTATAATTGCACATGAATCAATCATTACCTTGATAAAATATATTCACACACACACACACACACACACACACACACAAAAGTGTTGAAACCTGAGTAGGCATAGTGGACTCTATCGATGTTAATAACTTAGTTGAAATTATACTTTAGTTACCACTGAGGGAACTGGGGAAAGGATAAAAAGAACTCCTCTTTTATTTTATAATTGCACATGAATCAATCATTACCTTGATAAAGATGCTTCAATATAATAGAGAGCTGAAGAAACACAAGAAAAGATATTAACTTCCAAAAATCAGACCTTGGTGGACTCTATCGATGTTAATAACTTAGTTGAAATTATACTTTAGTTACCACTGAGGGAACTGGGGAAAGGATAAAAAGAACTCCTCTTTTATTTTATAATTGCACATGAATCAATCATTACCTTGATAAAGATGCTTCAATATAATAGAGAGCTGAAGAAACACAAGAAAAGATATTAACTTCCAAAAATCAGACCTTGGTGGGAGTGAAATTTTTCTAAAGTCAGATGGTGGTGAAGATCGAACAACTCAGCAAATGTACTGAAACTCAAACCACAAGCTGATTTTTAAATCTACCTGAAATTCCCTAGTATAAAATTTTTATAGTATAATCATTTTCAGATCAAATCTCTACACTTGATGTATAATGATAAGTTGAGTTGTTTTCTTGTATAAGAAATAACCTATCCCACAGTCAGTATTTATTCTTGGCCAAAGGAATTTTGTTTTTTCCACATATTTGCTTTGAAAACAATAGGGATAATTTGATATTGTGACATGTCAAGTTAGTAGCAAAGGGCTATTCCAGGAAAATGTTTCCTCTTCCTCAAACAAATCTGTAGACTATTAACTTAACTGGTGTGCAATTTTAAGAAATGAGCACTAGACCAGACAGACCTCAGACCTTTCACCATCTCTCACTAGGTGAACTTGGACTCAGCAATTTTCTCTCTCCTTTTGTTTTCTTATTTGACCACCGAATATCCACAGCTGCCCAATACATTTGTAGGATTTTTAAGAGAACCGAATAGATACAAGGCATCAAGACACTTTGAAATTAATGGCTCTCTAAAACTATAAAGCATTATTTATTTAATATCCTTCATTTTTCTTCAGATTTGATTTCCAAAGAAGGGGAAACAAGGAGAAAAGTTAAATAGTTTCTTTTGGATATTAATTGAGAGGGACTGGCTTTTCTTTCTGAGGAAGAATGTTCCACAGGCTCCTAATTCTGTCCTTGTGTGACATTAACAGGCTTTTATAAAAACTGTTATGATTTTTTTAACGCCCCATTCTGGCAGCCTGAAAATGAGATGGGAGCAGACAGGTGATTGTCAATTAAACAAGAGCTGTCAGGAAGTCAGAAATGTTGAAATATGGCGAGCGTGAATCCTAAGCACATCATATGGCAGCTGCTCAGCTGTTATTTGAGCAGAGTCACTGTATGTATGTGTCATTTTCCTGCAGAATTTAATTTGAGTCTCTAACAACCAGACATCTCCGCATTTGCACGGTGCTGTCAAGTCAAACTTGGACCTTCTACGTGAGCTGGAATGGTGGGTGGCACTGGACAGTGACACGTGGAGGACATCGCTTTTGTCTTGTTCTCCCCACTCAGGCTACATTGAAGAGGCCTGCATCATCCCCTGCCCCTCAGACTGCAAGCTCAGTGAGTGGTCCAACTGGTCCCGCTGCAGTAAGTCCTGTGGCAGTGGTGTGAAGGTGCGGTCTAAATGGCTTCGTGAAAAACCATACAATGGAGGAAGGCCCTGCCCCAAACTGGACCATGTGAACCAGGTATTTTCTTTACCTTGAGAGTGCTATGATGTTGAGATTTGCATGGATTTATTACTTCTCAAAAAATGCACAACAATAAATAAACACTCCTGAATAAGAAATGTGATCTATCTTCAGAGTGTCTGAGGAAATTATATGTATGTTATTGAAATCTCAAGTTAGGGGCTGGGGATTTAGCTCAGTGGTTCTGTTGCGTGCTTCACAAGTTCAAGGACCTGAGTTCGATCCCTGGTACCAAAAAAAAAAAATCTCAAATTAGATATATTATTCCTGAATCTCTGGAGATTCAGTACCCTGCAAGTGTACAAATATGAACTTAATTCAATGGGGAGAAATAACAATTGTCTTTGAAATGATGTCAACATATTTAATCTGTCACAAAATTGTGTCTAACTTGTTCAATAAGATTGTGCTATTCATATATTTTCCCTAGACTCTCAGAAAATGTATATCCTAGTTACCAACTGCATAAAATGAAAGAAAATATATGGATGTGTATCTGAAATTGAGAAAAATAGGCACTGTTTATTCATTTAAATTATTTGATGAAAAATAAATTAAGGAATAACAAATATAAAGAAAATTCAGTCACTGAGTGCACTATCAATGTAGTCGCTGGTGCTTTTAAATTTTGTTTGGACATTTACTAGAGTTTGGATGCATAACTTGTTAGTTGTTGTCAATAGTCATGTGTAATCCTTTGGAGACAGGAAGTAGAAAGACTAATGGGAAAATTGACTAATTTAAATGTAATGTATTTATCAGACAATTATCATACTTTACCTACTTGTGAATTAATGGAGAATAAATTTCATATAGTATGTGAAGACATATGAATGTAAGTTACAATCAAATGAACACTCAAATGAATACATAGAAATATTTTGCATTGTCTAATTTGAATCTTCAGACCCTGCTTACCCATAAACATAATTTCCTTCCAACATTAACCTAAATTTATTCATAACAACAAAATCACATTATAGAGAAAGCAGAAATAAAATTTAAATAAAGGACAGCAGTAGAGAATCGAGTTCTATAGAAGTTGTTTTCAGAGACTCTTGACTTGTCCCAAGTTGCTGAATTTATCCTTTAAAGGCCCCTGGAAGTGAATAATGTATTCCCGTGCTGCCACCTACTGGTAGTTGGGTTTCCTCGTCACCGGGTATTTTACATTTCTGAAACGCTAGTGATTTCCAAAGAGGAAAATTCAATTTCGTGACTCAAATTATATAAATATGGCATAGAATAACTGAAGTGGAGTATTTCTGAGAAAAGGTATGATTCTTGACAAGTTGGGAAACCTCCAATTGTCAATAGAAAACTTAAATTTTTCGTAAATTATGATCAAGTCCTAATAAACAAAAATTGTTCTCACCATCATACCCATCTTATGTTAGTATAGATTTGAGTTTATTTAAGACACTCATATCTACAAATTAAATAGGTTACATTTGCCTCCGCATTTTAACAATGATTCCAAACGTCCAGGCCCTTGTGCAAAGTTGTCTTTACTATGAAAAGTCTGTAATTTAAAATGAATTTATCGTTTCCCATTTGTGCAGAACTCGATAGGGATGTTTATGTACTTTTGCTCAGCTTGCTGGATGTACACCTGAAGATCAGTAGCTAAAAATGTGTAAGTCAAAATTAACGAATAAGAGATTTTTAATAGCTGAAGGAAAGGGAAAATATCTTATAATGAAGTTTGTCCTTATGGCGATGTTTTAATTATAGGTTAAAAAGACAGAAGGAGAATGCAGTGGATGAAGTGTATTGCTTTCACACTTTCATTTCAATAAATTCTTATTGTAACTTAATGAGATGATTTATTTCATGCAAACATGGCAAAGCAAGGTGTAAAAGCTCAGCTAGGCTTATTACTGTGCAGGAGAGTAAATACGTATCCGTTTTTTTCTTTTTCTTTTTCAATATAAGGTTTACTGAATGTACAAGAAAAACTTATCACTTAGGACACAGAATTTTTTAGGAAGTTTCTGTTAGGAAATTGTTACCTGTAAGCAAAGATTGTCTTGGTTTTATCTAAAAAATAAAACCACAAAACTATTCAACTAACATGGAAAAATAAAATAGCTGCTGTTTTCAAATGATAGAAATATATTGTTGACAGGGTGTGAGTTATTTCTACAGACTATAATTGATGACGTGGATAATATCTTCATGTTTCTGATATGTAATCTGTACATGAGGGGAAAGGCTAGTAAATACTGTTTCTAACCAAGTTGAAGAAACACTTAATTTTGAGCAAAAGTATTCTACATAAAAATATACATTTAAGGGATTTATATGTTAGTAAAATATTTAGGAAAAGTAAAGAATGGGAAGACTTTTATATTAACATTGAAAATTATAAATCATATAGATTTTTAGCACAGTCATGTAGTCCTCAAAAGGCAACTCATTGGCTTGAAAATGACCAGGCTATATTTTCCAGTTGAGCAAGCAAATCCACATTTTCTCCAAAACAGATGGATCAAGTGACTAAAATAAATCAACAGATAGATTAATCTATAGATAAATCAGGATGTAGATACTAGTCCCCTCAAAGTTTGTATCACAAGTTATTTGCAATCATGTATCAGTTTTTCAGTATAAATATTTAGAGGTCACTTCAGTTTTCTGAGATTTCTTCATCCAACTCATCTAATCCTGTCCTTGATTGAGCTGTGTGAAATAGCCCTTCTTGTGCTTTACTTTTCAGCAATAGTAAGTAGTTGATGTTCCACTCCCAAAGCATGAAAAAAATTCCAGTCCTTCATAAGAAATAAGCCTTCATGTATAACCATACTTGACACTTACAACTTGTGTTCTCAAATATATTGACATTTTTATTAATTTTTGTTTCTTCTTTTTCTTCATTCCTGTTGAACATTGTTCCAGGCACAGGTAAGAACTCTACTAATTCTTAATAGGACATTTTTTAAAATTCTGATTTATAAGAATGTATTTCTTTCCTTACTGATGTCTTTTATGTCTTACAGAAAAAAAAATAACCTTTTTCTTTATTTTTTTCTCTAGCTATTCCCTTTTATTTCCTAGCATAGTTGCCTGTGTTTCTCATTTAAATATTGAGGCCTGAGGGAAAAAGTGGGGAGAACAAGCTTCATATCCTCCCTTGACAAGGCAGTGACAGCCCTCATTAATGTTCTTGTGGCTTTCAAAGGGAGAGGGGGAAGATGCAGGAGGGCTGAACATTCACACGTGGAGGTGCTTGGAACTGATTTGTCTTCACTCCAAAGTAAAAGATTAAAATCAAAGCCATAAAAGGATTACGAAGAACAGCACTTTACATTCACCTTCTCCCTTCCCAGAAGTTCCAGAGTAGTGTTTAACTCTATAATGTTAGTCCTGCAGCATTCAATACAGTACCCAAAAGTGAATGCGCTCACTTACAGGAGTGACTGTAAAGTCTTATTCCAACAGTGCACATTTTTTATTCCTGTTTAGAACAGGTCCACTCTATTCACTTTACTTGAATTGTCAGTCCAATAAAACTTGCACAAATAACTCCAAAGAGCTATTTAAATCTATGCTTTCAGAAATTAATCACATAAAACACTTACATGTATGTATAACAGAAAATAAAGTTGGACTGTCATAGATTATGCAAATAATTTTAAAGATTTTGGTTTAGTAGCTATCTCATCTTGGTTGCAGTAGATTATGATCTATTTTTCCCTTCATTTCTTCTTATTAATAAAACAGCTTAATTGACCCACTACTCTAAAATTGCTTAAACTAAAAGTCACACCCCATGTGAGGGGCTGACAGCCTTTATGGACATAGAGTATAGACATTTTACTTTGTTTCATGTGGTTAATTTCAGACCCTACTTCCAAGTCCTAAATGATCAACAATGACTTTTAAGATGGCTCTATATTGTATTATTTATGTTTTAATTTAGTTTCCTACATGAAAACCACAAATTAATTCCTATTGTCATACATATTTATCTGGTAAAGGGGTCAAATCAAATTTATTCATAAAACACATGTGCTCACATAATCATTTCATTCATTCATTCATTCATTCATTAGACAATCTCTACTGAATGCCTAACAAATGAGTACTTTGAGCTAAATACTGAAGACACAAAGTTGTGAACAATGAAAATGGTCCAGAAAATTATGTACAGTGCAGCAAAGGTCAGTACAGGGTAATGTCTTTAATCTGGTCCAATGCATCAGATCTATACCGATAACATAATAACAGAATAACTACGTAACACAGTCTCCCTTTTGCTACTAGAACTCTCAAGAAGTTCTCTCATTGCTATTTTAGAGTAATGAACAATAAGGGAGAGGAATAAAAGTACCTTAACAATGAAATAAGATTGCGCTGGTGTGGGAATCCTCCCATTCTGAGATCCCTGAGAACTTCTGTTTCAGGTGTATGAGGTCGTCCCATGCCACAGTGACTGCAACCAGTACATATGGGTCACAGAGCCATGGAGTGTTTGCAAGGTGACTTTCGTGAATATGCGAGATAACTGTGGAGAAGGCGTGCAAACCCGTAAAGTGAGGTAAGGCCACACCTGATTCCACTTCATACCTTTTTTTTTGGTGGGGGGTACCGGGGATTGAATTTGGGACCTAACGCTTGCAAGGCAGGCACTGGAACCATCAAGCTTCATAACTCTTGAAGAGTAGCCTCTGAATCCCCTGGCTGGCTTCTGCCCCTCACTTGTTCTGTGGCTGTGTTCTCCAGGCAGGTAGCTACCAGCCATACGTGGCTATTTTTATTCTAATTGAAAATAAAATTTAAAAGAGTTCTTTGCTTCAAGTGCTCAGCAGCCACAGTGGCAAATCTGTTGAAGAGAATAGATCTGTCTTGTATTGAAAAAAATCCATTTACATACAGGCACCTTTATTGCACTCTGTAGGTTTCTGCAAGCAAAACTTGGTCTGTATTCATAAGAATCAACTGACATAGACATAAGTTTGATATGTGTTAAATTTCCAATATAGTCTCTGTCACATGACCCTTAAAGGTTCTAGAACCTGTGAAATAGGAGTTTGATGTTTTATTATCGACAGCTTATAAATTCGATTAGTCTGACATTCTAAGTAACATACTAGGAACACTCATCAAGAGTTGAAATTCAAACCCAAATCTGCTGTCACTGTCTAATTGTACCACTTTCTTCTAATCCTGCTCAGTGACACAATAAAGACAAATTTAAAATAAAATTCAATAAGGTAGAGGAATTAAAGTACCTTAACAGTGAAAAAAGTTTGTGCTGGTATGGGAGTCCTCCCACACTCTTTGGATTCCCTGAGATCCCTGAAAATTCAGTGTAAATAAAATTGGCAACACGTTATTAGTTGAATCTTTCTTATAACTTTTTCATGAATTTAAAATAGATATTGCAATAGGTAAATAGACTAAATTAATATTTATATCATAAAATGCTTGCATATAAATGTATATATAACTTTATTTCTAACAGAAATTTTCTATTTTTTTTCAAAAGCCCATCTGAGCTCTCAAAATACTTTTTTCTAAGAAACTTAATGAAGATAGCCTACACATGAAGAAAGTGCAGGGACGAAATGAGTACATAGAGGAAAAAAAAGAAAGCGATTCTGTTTTCTGTCATTCATCCAAATTAAGTATTTTCTCTTGAAAAGTAAAAAAACATTCATCCCTATATTAAGAACTAGATCCAGGGCTGGGGATTTAGCTCAGTGGTTCCAGCACTTGCAGTGGTTCCAGCACCTGCCTTGCAAGTGCAAGGTCCCAAATTTGATCCCCAGTACAGCCCCCAAAAAGAATTAGATCCACTTGGTTGCTTTGTTACTTTTTAAAAATTTATAATTAAACAGCCACTGATTTTTTGAGATTTCCCTTCAACTACTATTGCTTCTTTTTGTTTTGTAAATATGTATTCTCAGCTTTTACCAAAAAAAGGAAAGTAACCGTTCAGATCAGTTCTTTTTTAGTAAACATCTATGATGCCAGTAGACTGGAGGTCAGCATTGAGTGTGATCTCCGATCATGTGATAATGCTTGTAGTACACCTCCCTAACTTTATCTCCTGCTAATTAAGGTAAAAAAGGTTCTGCTGAAATGCGGATGGGTGATGCTTCAGGATAGATGTGTCTATAAAAGAGCAGGTTTAAATGTAGCCAAGCTCAGTGTTCCTCTTTGAGAACAGTGTGCCATATCAAGGAGTGGGTGGCAGTAGAAATTTGCCATTGATAGAAATCTGTATTCTTTCAATGACGGTTTTTAAAATCGCCTGTAGTATGACAATTTTAACTCTTTTAGGAGGGAATGCATGCATACTCATCTTTCTAATAGCATGATTTATAATAGCTAGATCCTGGAAATAGTGTGTATGTCTATCAACAGATGAATGGACAAGGAAATATGATCTTTATACCCAACGAAATAGTACTCTGCCTAAAGGTGTGGGAAACGTGGGAAGGAAGGGTAGGGGAAAGGGAATAAGGGAAAAGAAAAAATATGAGAAAATGAAAAACATGGAAATAAAGTGTTTGCTAATGGGAAGGGGGGAGGGGGTGAAGGGAGGGCAGGGATGAGGGGGAAAAATGAGAACCAAGACCTGTCATGTAAAGGTACAAGATCCCAGTAATGAATGTAACTGTACTGTACCAATAAACTCAATTAATAAAAAAAAGCAGAAATAGTACTCTGCCGTAAAAGAAAGGTAAACTTGAGGAATTCATAGGTAAATAGATGCAACTTGAGAACATAATGTTAAGTAAGGCAGAAAAACAAACTTAAATATCACATTTTTCTTTGTATGACAAAAATTAATATATATATATATGCAAATGAGGAGCAAAATGGAAGGTAGATATGTATGAAGTGGGGAAAGGTTCAAATGGTTCCCCAAATATTTGCCTATTCCATGGTTTCAAAAATATTTAATGTACATATGCTAATTTTTTCATTTATACTTCTAGTTTCTCTTAGTTCACCAAAAAGAAACTTTTATGCTAGCATCTGTTTCTTCTTTGTATGAGAAAATCTTTTTTGTACTGTATACCTAAAATGTACCAATAAACTCCATGAGGAACAAAATCTCTCTTGTAGACATACTGCTTTGAAGATAACGATGCACAGTGTATTAGCTATTGTTCTCTCACTATTTTGTTCTATTTATCATAAAGTAAAATGGAAATGAAGAAGTACCAGCAAATATTGACTATAAAAACTCAGGTTTAGTTGCTGTTTGTGTTGAGTTTCCCATGGACAATATACTCCCTTATTGCTACACCTACCTTGGACATTCTTTTTCTCAAAATCTGTGATATCCTATGTATTTCTAATACCATTCCATTTTCTCACAGCATTATTTTTGCTCACTGAAAGAAATAAAGGGTAAAACTTTGAAGAAAGCAGATAAATTTAGAATGCTGTCTGTTGGGTTCAACACTTGATCAGAATACTTCTGTGTTCTAGATTGATAAAAATTATAAATATGAAGGAAAATAAGACAACTTAGTAGGTTAAATTTGTTCCTGTTTTATGTAATGAAAATGTATGTTTAAAAGAAGATCCTGTTAGAAATAAAGTCTATTGAGCATTTCTGAGTGGTACATATAACATATAAATGTATAATATACTGAAATATATAAATATAGGATTATATATTTTAAATATATAATATACATTCTTATTATTTCTTCTGATTTTCCTTAAATGAATTCATGACTTGTATAATACAAAATTAAAATAAAAGGAAAATTTTTGAAAATGAACTCCACGTGCACAACTACTTACTAGACATTGAACATCTGTTCTTAACTTGGATCAATAGGTAATTTTGCAACCTAATCCTTGTGCATGTGTCAGTACCTACCATGAATGTAATCTCAGAATTAAATCCACTTCTGAGCAGGGAAATGACTTGTCTTCACATGCTCTTTTCAAGCTGCTGACAAAGGAACATTTTTAAAATTCTCTTGCAGATAGAACTTTTTCTAGGAAACTAAAATCCTCCCAAATAGGTTATAGCTTGATTTTTTTTGGCAATGAAATCAATAAATATCTACCTTCATATGTTTTTATGACTGCTTTTTATATACAAAGTGCAGAGACATTTGTATGGATATTTTTTCAGGCTACCAACCCAGCAGGACATGACCAATGGCATAATATTCAAGTCTTTGAATATATCCCGCAGTAAAAGGATATTTCCCTTATATTTGTTAGCACTTTATAGAAACATGATTCTGCAAAGTAGATTTATGAAGATGTAATGTCCCTACTGATTGTAAATCCTTGAGAAAAGTTGGGATTCCAGTTAAAATTAGTAACACAATACAACATAATTCAATAAAACAGTGCTGTGTTCTGAGAGGCTTAAGAGTTTGAGCCTTCTTTTTCATTTCTTTAATGCTGTTCTCTTCCCAAACCCATTAATTTGGTTTCCAAGTTATAGATGAGGAATAAAGGTTTTTCTTCCACTATGGAAGAATCCAGAGAGATTATTACTATGGTAAAACAGAAGCCATATTAATTGAATTCCTAAGAGTTAGTAACAGAGTCCTTCATATATGCTTTGAATAGAATAAATTGATTGCTAGTTTTGAATTTGTTTGAAATGAAACTAAACATAAAAAAATCAAGATACAGTAAGATCCAAATAACCGTATTTAGAGAATGTGTATTATGATTTTCTTTTCACTTTTTGAATTCTTTTCAGGTTAGCAATAAATGGAGGCTGAAATTACTTTTAAAATGACAAAACAAATTCATAAATATCCCCAGTTATCTTTAAAAACACTCATAAAAATCTTTCTTATAGGTATTATGATATGGCTAGTCTTCCATCATATGTGAATTACATCAACCTTCTCTACATTTGTAAGACGAACACAGATTATAAAGCAAAACTGTAATGTCTCTATGAGTCTCTTCGGACCACCCTCATTAGATGCTGCCTTGCATGTGGATCGGAGTGACCCTTTCCTTTCCGGAAAGCTCACCTGGAAGGCAGCATTTACATATATGCATATATTATGAATATGCATGAAAGGCTGTATATTTAAATCCACCAAAAGCAATATAAATATTTGTCAGAGACAGAGTTTTTTACGTATTCATTTTTGGAAACAATTATTTATTAAATGCAAAGCTTCCTACCCTACACCTGAGCTGATGTAAGAAGAACCACCTATTCTATAGCTGGCCCTTCTTCTCATTGTTCTGATTTCTTCACTGCATATATTTTTTTCCTAGATGCATGCAGAATACAGCAGATGGCCCTTCTGAACTTGTGGAGGATTACCTCTGTGACCCAGAAGAGATGCCCCTGGGCTCTAGAGAGTGCAAATTACCATGCCCTGAAGACTGTGTAATATCTGAATGGGGCCCATGGACCCAATGTGCTTTGGTGAGATGATTAATCATTTTATTAATGCGTAGTTTGCTTGATTCTTTACCACTAAATCTTTAAACATATTATGAAAAATGATAGCTTCAATGTAAAATCTGATTGTGAACCAAGTTTACCAAAGCAAATTGTGTTTTCTTGGCTAATTCATTCTCTAACAGTACCATATAAGGTCAGTAATGTTTCCTCTCACACTAAACAGCTCCACCTCTTGTAAGCCTTTTACCCATAACTCAGAGCACACAATGCCTTCATTTTGTCTTACAAATCCACAGCATGTTAAAAACTGCAGTGGTGATAATGATTCCCTTGAAGAAAAGAGAAAAAGAAGGATGCTCTAGTAAAAGTGCTTTAATGTATCGGTTTATTGTCGCCTCTTGCTTTTTGCCCAGTTCATTTTAAATAGTAGGAATAATCTTTCACACAGTGGAGGGTGCTACAGCAGGAGTATTAACACTAAAAAGCAAATTATACTGGGTAAGAAACTGAGGAGAAAAAGTAATGCACATCAGTGATTCTCCTACACACTGACTCTGTCTCTGGCCCTGGAAAAGCAGCAGAGACTTTCAAAATTCTAAAGTTTCTGGATTTCAAGAGCAGCAGGGGATGTAGCATGGCACTCTGGGAAGGGTATCACTAGAAACAGAATTGGCAATTTAGGAAACTTACTTACACTTGGCACCTCCATACACATGCATATTTCAAAAGAGCATCAAAAGCATGGAGAAATTTTTTCTAATGTGCCGAAATGCACTATAGAAAGTTTGAAGGAAAAGTCTATCGTGTCGTTTTCTAAGGAGAAATTGCTTCAGAGATGTTGACTGGCAACTAAATAATACATGTGCAGCAAACTGGGCCTGGTACTTGACTTTAATACAGGTTAAAATGCAATGCAAAAAAGAGAACTTTTTCACAAGAGCATGTGTCTTAGTTACTTTTCTCATTGTTGAGACAAAATACCCAACATCCAACATTAAAGGATGAAAAGTTTATATAGTTCATAGTTTGTAGAGGTTTCAGACTATAATCAGCCAGCTCCAAGGCAGGGTGGCATGTTCAACAGGCAATGCAGAGAAGAAACAGCTCATGGTAGGCAGAAGGTAACATGCAACAGGGAACAACTGCAGCTCTTTCTATCCCTTAAATGTCATCCTGGCTTCTTAGGGCAGGTAGCACTCACACCCTTAATCCTAGTGCACTTGAGCATAGCATTACACCATGAATTAATCCCAGCATCACACACTCTAGATCCAGCTACCTCTGAAAAAAGGCCCAACTATGACTGCAGGAGGCTTTGGGAGACATATAAATGCAAGCCATAAAAGCATGCAAATAAATGTCTCTTTTAATTCCATTGCATTAGATGTGAACTTATGCCAAATAGTTGAGCTGTATTCTACAGTGTCTAACCATGTTTATAATTGTCACTGTCTTTTCTTTTTAAATTCTTAGTTTTACAGATTCTGTTCCATAAAGATTCCATTTTTATAAAATAGGGAATGTTGAATATACCTACTTCCTAACCTCATGGATGACATTCTGATCACAAGAATGATTATGATGGAATTATGCCCATATCTTTTTTTTTTATTAAGTTTATTGGTACTTTTTAGGTATACAATACAGTTACATTCATCATTTGGAACTTGTACATGACTTATCTTTGTTCTTATTTTTTCCCCATTCCCCTGCCCTCCCTTCATCCCTTCTACCCTTCCCTATTTATAAAGATCATGTTTTCCTTTCTGCCTTTTCTCAAATTTTTTTCTTTTCCTTTCTTTCCTTTCCCCTACCCTTCCCAATTCCCCTTCTCCTTTACACCTATTCCAAGGATAATCGTTTTACGAAAGTAATTGAGATTCTAACTATAAAAGAGAGTTGATGACATGTACATTATCTTCCTGACAGTTTGCCAATAGAAATGTTTGGAGAAGAAAAATAAAATTCAGTTGAACAAATGTGCTGCTTGGGCTTTATATTTTACTTTTAGTTCATCTTGTTTCATTACTCAGGCTTTTATTGAATAAATAATGCTAAGTATTTATTGACTACCAACAACTGTGTTGGGAGTACAAAATACACTAACAAATAAGATATAAGCCTCTTGATGTACTCACACTGTAGAATGGAGCAATATAATAAATACATAATTCACATTGTACCGGAGTAGTAAAGGTCATTGCAGTGTGTGATTAAAGTACAGTAAGGAGCAAAGGAGGAGGAAGTAATTGTTTAGGCCTAAAAAGCCCAACATGATGTATCATGACCTGCTTCCTGTTCTTAGGAAACCAGTTTTCAGAAGAATGAATTAGTAGAATGGCAGGCAAGTCATTTTAGGTACTCAATTGTGATATGCGAATTTTTTTTGGTACCAGGGATTGAACTCGGGTCCTTGCCCTTGCAAGGTAAGGCCACCGAACCGCTGAGCTAAATCCCCAGCCCCTAATATGTGAATATATTTGTATGTATGAGGAAAATAAAAATCATCAATACCTGGATAGTTATTTAAAATTACTCTTACAAAGATTTTTCTAGTGAAAAAGACTGTATGCATAATTTTACACATAAGCATTACATTAGCATTATACACTACCAAATATGACTTTCAATATGCGTTGGTGTAGATGTAGGGTGATGTGTGTGTGTGTTAGTGGTTGACACATAGAATCTTAAGCATCTTGTAGCTAGATGAAACCTCACAGCTTCAGCTAATACCTTCATATTATACACCGAAAACTGAAAAATAATCAGACTAACTGACTTGCTCAAGTTAGCCAGTGGCCCAAGCATTTTAACTCCTGCTCTAGCACTGTGCCTAATGTCCTAGCTGTTGTGTGTCTGAGAATTCACCCTTCTGAGGAGTGGTATTGTTCTTCACAAGCCTTGCAATCAAAGCACTTTCCGGCAAAGGTCAGCTGATCCCATCAGACAACCTGCTGATGAAGGAAGAGCCTGCCCTGAAGCTACGGAAAGGGAACCCTGTAAAGTGAACAAAAACTGCTACCACTATGATTATAATGTGACAGGTATGTGGATAGTCATCTCATCCCAGAGCTAGAGGTCTGCTCTGACACACTCCCGTCAGTATAGCTCAACTCTCTCAGTGTGCTTTTTGGATCTGGAGTTTATGATCCCAGAAATAATTAGTTATCAAGTAACAAAAATATTTATCTGTTCTGTTTTTTAGCAAACTTCAAGATATAGAGAATAAAACTCTCAACAGACACTGACCCATAATGGGATTCTAAGTAATCCTATTTGAAACATCATTTCACTTTATAAAGATGCAAGTAAAAGAAATATTTTTAACACAGAGTCCAAGTTTAGTGAAATGTATTTTTCTTTTTCAAATGTTAATTGCTGTAACACCTAATGTAGCAATCCTTGGGTGTATGAGTAATTTATAAGTATGTCTAGATTTTATAAAAATGCCAGTAGTCTTAAATGGGCCAATGATTACAAATCAATGTTATAAAAGGTAAAGAAAAATACATGAGTGTTTTTGAGAAAATCAAACTTACTCTAAATTTCTTTTTAGCCTGAAATGTATTTAATATTTTTCATGCCACAAGAAAATATTTTATTGGTTCATATGATGTGAGACAACACCAAAGCTAATGTTAGAATGTTCACAATGATATCACAGTCATATTGACCTTTTGTTTCTCTTGGTTTTTCTCTTCAATTTGTTTTCATGACAGCAAGGAAGTCAGAGTTCTCTGGAATATGTCATGATAAAAAATGAAAAAATTATTTTGAAAAAAAAAGAATGAAATAATACATCCAAAGTTATTTTTTAAATAAATAGGTTAGATTTTAAAGCATTATAACTATGGATAACTAATAAAATATGTATTTTATTAGAATATGACTACATAAAGTGCCATCCATTAAAACTGTGTTAATTTTGTAAAAAGATGAGTAATGATAAAATTTTTTATTGTACTTTTATTAGAAAAAAATGTTTAAGTGACATTGGTCTGTAGGCCCCAGTCATTTTTCCAATGTCACCAAATGGCTAGCTATCAAGATTGTCAACTAGACATCTGCCTTGAAGAATAATCCCTGCAGCTATGTGCCACCCCAGCAATTCCATTTGACTCCTGATATGTTCAAAGCTGGGACCCATATGCTCTGCATGTGGGATGATTGATTGCAGGGCTTACAAAGCAGTTTTAAATTAAGTATGGGATTCAGGTCATCAGAGTTTCATGTGAAATCTGTTTCATGTATACCCTCCTGTTCTGATGGGCTCCCTTTCTTTCAGACTGGAGTACATGTCAGCTGAGTGAGAAGGCAGTGTGTGGAAATGGCCTTAAAACAAGGATGTTGGACTGTGTCCGAAGTGATGGTAAATCGGTGGACCTGAAATATTGTGAAGAGGTGGGTGGGTGCTATTTTATGCCTTTGTGAGTAAATTTTTCCCTAATAATTTCATTTCATGTGAAACCTAGTGACCTGTGCTCTGTGCAGCTAATTGCAGCAGATGTTTTCTGCACTATTCACAAGCCACTTAGTACTCTCTCATAAAAAGACTAGCCAGCACTACTGATTTCCACATGAAATTTCCTGTATTTTGTTCTGTTTGGAGCCCAAAGGTATGCTAATTAGCCCGTCCCCCCAAAAAAGTTTATGAAACAATGAATAATCAAGGTAAATTAAGGCAATAAATCTTAATCAGACTACTCATCATCTTTTGTAATTTGATGTGAATTTTTGTAGTGCCCGGGACACCTGCCATGATCCATCATTTATTCTCTCTTGCTAAACATTGATCGCCTGTGGTTTGGTAGCAGGTTTTGATACTGAGAGCTAATACCCAGCTGTGAGACTCCAAGTGCTCAGATCTGGATAATACAGCTTGGAATTCAAACAAAGAAATAAAATCTACTACTATTACTTTTTAGGTACAGAGAATTATCGTTGTTAATTCTCTCACTGAAAACTGAAATATCATTATTCCTGGATCTGACCTTTTGTAATGTGAGAAAAAAAAATGACCTTCCTTTGTTTCCATGAAGCTACACTTCATGTTATAGTAAGTTTATGTGATTGTCATACCAAAAATGCACTCACATTCCTGAAAAGTTTTGCTCCAGGTACATCTGAAGCCCACTGGGTCCAATTCCAACCAACATAAACAGAAGCAACTTCCTTAAATCTGTGTCCCATTGAAGCAGAGCTCTGAAATGTGCCAAAAACATCTAGCTGTTTAGTTAATAAATCCCTCCCACTTTAACCTTACAACAGAATTTAGTTTATTCTTCCTTTAGATTTACATAATTTAAATTTCACAACTGAATCATTTGAGTTTTGAAGATAATAATATTGAGATAGTGTAACCATTATATAAATAACATTATGATGAATGGAGATATTATAGTCATATACTGGCTAGAGAGCTTTCTGGGATCTGCTTCTAGTTGATGAATACGGTCTCTATTTTTGCAAATGCACAGATAAATATCATCCTAGGCCAGAATGAAATAGAAACTGAGTAGCTCTGAGAGTATTTTGAAAGTTGAACCCAAATCATACCAGACAAATTTTAAACTATTTCATATGACTGAAGGACTAAGGTATAAATAGGATCAGAGATTTCTTAAGTGAAATAAAGCATATGAAATATCTAATTTAATTGTCTTAACCCTTAAGTGGAAAATACCATAATATTTGAATACTGCAATAACAATTAGAGATTTACATCCCAACATTCTGGTACTGTCTAGTGGAACAGTGTTACTTTCATAGAGAATTGGTTTAAACAACTTTCATTCCATTTTATTCATTCTTTTTTTTTAATCCAATTTGAAAACAACCTTTTTTATCTTTTCTTTTTCCTCTATTAAGTTCATTGGTACATTTAATACAAGCAATACAGTTACATTTATCATTGGTATCTTTTCATGTAAATGTACAAGATCCATTTTATTCATTCTACTAGTTCTATGATAGCTTTCTAAGAAAAAATAGGCCATCTTTTTAAACAGTGGACTGATTGTCTACCTGCTAATACATGTGCAAACACTGCATTTAGGGCAATAGCAGTAGGTATCTCTTGCTGATTCTTGAATAGTCCCAGCGAGAGATGTCATTACTGCCCCACAAAGAAGAAAATGAAGGTTGAGCCCTAGTGTTTATGGAGTATTTTTTTTCTTTAGTGTTTTTGAGATATGTATTCACTTGTTACCCAGGAAGTCATTTCTCCTCTCCTATTCTTTAAAATCTAAGTAGATTTCCTTTAATTAAAACTAATATATTTATTTAAGTAAATGAATAGGTAGATAGCCATACAGATAAGAAAGTAACAAACAATAAATGTAGAAAAACTATTAAAGGGGATGGGGTTTTAGTTCAGTGGTTCGGTGGCCTGCCTTGCAGGCGCAAGAATCCGAGTTCAATCCCTGGTACCCCCCCAAAAAAAACTATTAGAACATTAATATGTCTAATCACTATCCAGAATAGCTGAAAACACATATCCTCTTTCATGCTTTAAGTCATAATAGTTGAATTCTGTGAGTCAAGCTCTCTATGAAAACATCATTTACTCTAAATGTAACACATTATTGTAATTATATCACCCCAACATTCTTGTAAAACAACCTCCCATGATTTTTATGAATAAAAATAAAGATTTTTGTAAGTGAAAATAAAGATGTGGCAAAGTGATGATTGACCATAAAACATTTGCTATATAAAAGAATATGAGTTGTGTTTATTTTAAATGAGGAAAACACATTTTTATAAAAAGCATAATGGAATATGGTTTAAAAAATAATTTTATCCTAAACACTCAGCTATCAAATATTCTCAGGGTAAATGTAATAGAGGTGACTATCTAGGGAAATGTATGGAAATCAAGGATCAAGACAGAAAATGTATACGTAACAATAGAGCAAAGAACTATACTTGAAACAATATAATGGTTCAGAAAACTTATCTGTTATTATCTTCTGCAGTATAAATTAGAAAATATGTTTCTCTTTCATACAGAAACAACAGAAGCCTTTAAAATTCCAAGAACTACTAATATAAAAAATTTATTCATCAAGCTCTTAAATTTTTCTTATTTTAATGCTACTTTGTACCTTAGAATTTTTTGTGTTAGAATATTCAGTTAATGAATTGAAACCTCTACTTATGTTTTTAAAGTAGGACATGTAGCCCTAGCCCCCAAATTGACATCTTATGTTATTTCATCACATTATATCATTAGTCTTGAGTGGCAATTTGTCTTTAAAACCTTTCCCTTTTCCTTTTCTGTTTAACATGTAAAAATAAATAATATCCTGAAGATACAATTATAGATCTATATATTAATTATGTTCTTGCATTTGAATTAATAGAGAATAATTATGCTTATACTTTTTTTTTCCTCATTTAGGAAAATTTAACCAATTTGGAGATTTAAATCCATTTTTTCACTTTTTACTAAAATTGTTATATAGCACTTAAGTATGTACAGTCCACAGGTCCCTCCACTCACCCCATGCCCTTGGCTGCGAAGCTCCTGGTCGGGCTGTAATAGTGTGGATATATACTAGTCTGGATCTCCTCTGCTCTCCTGTCTCCTTCTCTTTTCACTTTCTCTCTCTCTCTCTCTCTCTCTCTCTCTCTCTCTCACACACACACTTTTCTCTCCTCCCCTCCTTCCCACTGACAGTGTGTCTTGAATAGATCTCCCTCTATCTTTTCAGCTTGGCCTTGAAAAGCACTGGCAGATGAACACGTCCTGCGTGGTGGAATGCCCTGTGAACTGTCAGCTGTCTGACTGGTCTCCTTGGTCGGAATGTTCTCAAACATGTGGCCTCACAGGTTTGTTTGTACCACAGTTAGCACCAGGCTAGTTGTCGGGATGCATAAAATAAAATATCCCTCTTTCATTCATGTCAGATAACCTTCAGAAAGCCTAGACTGGGAGCCTTTCTTTCTAAAACCTGGGAGCTTCATTTATTCCTGGGTCTCCTTGACAGAGATTTATGTGCTTCTCCTCCCAATAAGTTATCTACTTGCACAACCCTAACATACCACTGAAGGCACATCACTTTGTATCTCTAAAAGGAAAAATGATCCGAAGACGAACAGTGACGCAGCCCTTTCAGGGTGATGGAAGACCATGTCCTTCCCTGATGGAACAGTCTAAGCCCTGCCCAGTGAAGCCCTGTTATCGGTGGCAATATGGCCAGTGGTCTGCATGCCAAGTGCAGGTACCAAAACTCAAGAAGTTGTGTGAACTGTGTGCTACAAGACTTGATTTCAGAAATATTTTTCAAAGCTGATAGGCTGCACGTTCCTGCTTAAGGATTTTAGTTATTTTGCTATTTTGCAACCATTTAATTAGTTTTGAAACATATACTCCCTGTCCTGTACTTTTAGAATCATTTGGAGACCAATTCATTTTAATGAAAATTTATTTGCCTGTCTTTGGCTAGAAAATAAATAAATTGTTCAGTGTGTGTTTTATAGCTTGTGTCCTATAAGACTTCATCCCTGGGGTTTCAAATGGTTCTCTAACTGTTCATAAATCAAAATCAATGATGCAGAGATGACTGTAAGTGATGAGATCCCTGATGAATTACTTTCCTTTTCCTAATTAGTCATTTCTTCCTCCATTCCAGGAGGCCCAGTGTGGAGGGGGAACCAGAACAAGGAACATTTCATGTGTAGTCAGTGATGGTTCAACTGATGATTTCACCAAAGTGGTGGATGAGGAATTCTGTGCTGACATTGAACCCACTGTAGATGGTAATAAAAAAATGGTTCTGGAGGAAATTTGCATCCAGCCTTGCCCAGGTAACAACAGCAGGACAGAATCTAGTTTGATGATTTCCTCCCAGGGCCAGGGTCAAGGTTTTGCAGATATAGATAAGTTAAGGGATGTCAGTAGTCTTAGGAGTAGAACCTACAGGTCCTCTACCAGCAGCTGGTCACCATGCCTGTGTGTAAACAGGGCACTGCCTCCTTACTACAGATAGAGTGGAGTTGTTCTCTCATGTGGCCTTTCTTAATATCCCTTGGAAGTTTTACTATTTGAAGAGGATGTGAATTAAGACCTGTAGGCTTTGGCCTCACATGGAAAATATGGCATAGAGGTTGACAAAATCAGCCTTGGACATAATCCATTTGGGATTTCCAGGAGAAAATAAAGAATGAGTGACAGGCAGTGGTCAAATACATAAGGCTAAAGAGGATTTGAATTCTTTTTTTCTTCTTTTGTGGCTGCCTTTCACTTAACATAATGTTTTCAAGGTTAATTCATTTTTTTATTTGTACGTTCTTATAATAAAAGCTTACTTTGAACCCTGAAGAGAATCAACAAATGCTACAGTTAAAGCATAGTGGAGAAGCAGTAAAGCATTTAAAATGAAGAAGTCAACCGGGCATGGTGGTGTACACCTATAATCCAGCAGTCTGAGAGGCTGAGGCAGGATGTGGGTAAATATGAGCCCAGTCTTGGCAACATAATGACTTAGCAAGTCCTTGTATCAAAACAGAAATACTTCAAAAAAGCTGAGGGTGTAGTTCAGTGTTAACACACTATGTTCAATCCCTAGTGCCAAAAAACAAAACTAAGAAAGTAGGAAAAACCAGATTATTTGCAATTTGAAGACAAAATAGTATAATGAGATTATAGAAGAAAATATTGAATGATATTTTCAGAATCAATAAGAAGTACAGGACATAAGAAGTCAGGATAAGATGAAATAAGTATAAGATATAAAACATAGAAAGCAAATGTTTTACATTTTACATAATGCAGGAATATTGGAGGACAAGATAGGCTAATATTTAGGAACTTCAACTTAGTGTAGAGAATTTCAGGGGAGATTTTAAGTCAGAAAACAATAAGAAATTATATTAGCAAAGATATTTGGGAAATATTTTGTAGTAAATATGAAGTGAACGAAACTGGAAGTAAATTAACTATTTTACTTACAAATGGGAACTTTTTATTCGCCCAATTTCCTTATAATTAAGAAAAATGTACATTTCTTTTAAAATGTATTCTTTTGAATAAGATCTCAAAAATAAAAATAAAGATGAGGCAAAGTGATGACTGTACATAAAACATTTTCTATATAAAAGAATATGAGTTATGATTATTCTAAATGAGAAAATATAGTTTTCTAAAAAGTATAAATGGGATTGATACTTTAGAAAATTAAAAAAACCCTGATAACATGGATTACCTAGCCACTTTATGGCTCAGTTTACTCATTGCTTAGTAAATAAATTATGGGAGATAATTAGTTTGCTATTTATTGTTTAGATCAACTGAATGAAATTGAATAAAGCAGTAAGTAAAATAACCCAGTACTTTGAATTTTAGTTAGATGCCAGTGTCATTCAATTGTTGTGATGGTCTTTGCACACACAAATGCTTTCGTTTACATCGGGTTAATAAATAGACTATTAAAAAACAAAAACCTGAATAGCAACCTTTATTCAATGGGTATATTTTCAGTTATAGAAGCTGAATAAGCCCTAGAGGTCTGCTGTACTACATTGTGCCTGAAGTTAACAATACTGTATTATACACCGAAACTTTGTTCAGAAGATAGAGTCATGATAAATGTTTTGAGCAAATTAGGAGGATTTTTTGGTTTTGGTTTTGGTTTTTGGTACCGGGATCTAGCTCGGGACCTTGCACTAGTGAGGCAGGCGTGGCTCCACTGAGCTGAATCCCCAGCCCAGGATCAGGTTTTTAGAGTTAGACAATGTGTCTATTCTTAACCTTGGAATTTCCAATAAAAACTGATCCACCGATTCTCATGGACACTCATTTCCTATCCTTGAAGCTGGCGTGGTCTCAGTCAAGAGCTCACACACCAATCAACATTCAACTTAGTAAAGTCACTGTGAGTCACAGTAGACCTCGAATGGGACTATGGCGGTAGGAGAGGGCTCTGGGGCATGATCAGGGCCTGGACTGGTGGACTTTGTGTGCTGAATGACCACATAGCAATAAAACATGTCAAAGTTTAAAATGTGGAAGGCCTACCAAGTCCAAAACCAAATGCCCAGCATCAATCAGAGACTCATTAAGGCATCTATCACACTGTTCAGAAGAGTCATCTTTTCTGGGAACTTGGCTACGCTTTCTGTGGATGCCCACTACACATTTTCATTGCACTTCCCACAGCACAAACATTCATTCCCTTGACCTTTATGTATCGGATATAATCAGGGGCCAGGCATGGACATTAGGTTGGAAATACAATGTGAGACCAATTGACCTTACCCTCATAGAGCTCACTTTCTAAGAGCAGAAACAGTTAATAATCTAATAAGGATATAAATATGCATAAGATCATACTCTGTGGTAAATATGTGAAAGGTAACTACAAGACATCATAATAATGTAAAATATAACATTATCCTATTTTAATTAAAGTAACTACAAATGAAGAAGGGAACTGCTCTTTCTCATATAAATTATATTCATTATAATCATTTAAATTCTTCCTAGTTTTCTCTAATGATAGGTTTTGAAAAGCTAGTAATATGTGAGTTATAAGATTTGAAGAATAGAATACTGACTTAGGAAATACATTTCATGCATTAACTGTTGTGCTTTTGTCATGCATGGTATAATTTTATTTTTATTACAATGGTTTATATGCTCGAATATATGTATATATATTTGCACAGCACAGCCTTGCTCTCATTTGCTGTTATTAAATCTCTGAATTTTGACATGCATTATTTTGGGATGATAATTCTATAACTTGCAGTCTGTCACTAAAAGATTTATTGAATTTTCTTTCAAAATACATGATGTTAAATGAGGATAAACACAGAGAAGAACCCTCCTAATAAAAGGGTACATATTATTTTCATGTAATTTGCAATTGCAAAGCTGAAGCTGTACTACACTCAGGTTGACAGGATATTTTTATTTTAACTTCACTTTGTCCTGAATACTTAAAAACTGAGTAGCCCAAATGTGGCATGTCCTAGGTGATAGAAGTGTTTCTTAAACTTTCTTAGAATACATTAAAATATTTTTGGTTTCTTTTTTCTTATCATTTCTAAAATTTACTAGAACATTTTGTATCATCAGTAATGCTAATGATATTCTATAATAAAAATCTGCAAAAATCACTCAGCTATCATACGTACACACACACACACATGCATTTTGCCATTAATCAGACCTCCTGGCAACTTTGCATTAATATTAGTAATCTTCAGCATAAAATAAGGCAATATGACCTATTCATATGATTTGCATGGAATGATAGTATCTTCTAATGAACTTGGGGCTATCATTATACCTGTACATACTGAACCTTACTACCAAGTAGTCAGTCCAGAAGAATGAATGGAAATATGGAAAAGTAAATTTAATTAGATCTTCCCTATTTTCAAAATGGTTAGAACACGTGCATACACTATGGCCCAGCAGTTCTACTCATATATATATGCCCAATACAAATATATATGGGGCATGTATATGTCTATCAAAGGATTATTATACTAAAAGTTTCACAAAGAATTATTTATAATAGGGAAAATTTATACCTCTCTATATGCCTATCAACAATAAAATGGGTATCTAATTTGTAGTATTTTTAAACAAAAGTCCAGGGATAAGAATGAACATATTAAAACTGCATTAATATCTGCTAGCTCTCATGTCTGGGGCTCTGTGATTCTGGGACAGTTCTGTTGCATGATTTAATGTTGATTACATGGATATGAAATCCCACTGTGAAAATTCAGCTATCTGTGCATTTATGATACATAATAGTATTTCATGTACTATATATTATGCTTCAGTAAATATTTAGTAAAGATACGATGACTTAAGATGTATATCAAAGGAAATAATATCATTTCCACTACTGCAGCTGCTTAGCTTGCTGTCTCACCTCAATACCTCTGGGAAATAATAGGAGTAAAACATAAAAACCAGCTTTCTTAGCCTTGGACTTCATACTGCTTTGAAATTACGAATACCTGGAAGACAATAAATCCTTTTATGATGCTATGCAAGAGATAAGTTTGTTCTAACCAAATATCTCATAGGAGGAAATCAATTAGGAAGCTCCTTCAAGTCACAGTTATATTTTATACCATTAAGCAAGATACAGCTAGTACTCACCATTTAGAAAGTAACAATAGTGATGGAAACTTATAAAAGTGTTTATACATTTGAAATTATTAGATGCTTATCTAAATTTTATAAATAGTATCTATGAATAGCCTACCTGCAAGCATTGTCCAGAACAATTAGAATTACAATGAGTATTTGCCTGGCCATTCTCATGGGTCTGGGTATGAACTACTAATTTATGATTTTCAGGGGACTGTTACTTGGAGGACTGGTCTTCGTGGAGCCTGTGTCAGCTGACCTGTGTGAATGGAGAAGATCTTGGTTTGGGTGGAATACAAGTCCGATCCAGAGCAGTGATTATTCAGGAACTAGAGAATCAACATCTGTGCCCAGAGCAGATATTAGAAACAAAGTCATGCGATGGTAAGTGTCTACACCTCACTAAATCTACTCATTTTAGTTTTTTTCCAATACACAAAAGCCTAAGATAGTTTTCAGCTTGGTATGGTGGAAAAATGCCTGTAATCCTATGTACTGGATAGCCTGAGGCAAGAGGATTGAGAGTTCAAGCCAGTCTGGATAATCTAGTGAGACCCTGCCTCAAATAAAACACAAAATAAAAAGGGTTGGGGTTGTAGCTCATTGGTAGAGTCCCTGAGTTCAATCTCCGATACTTCAAAAACAATGTGTTTCTAATAAGCAAATTTTCTAAAGTCCCCCTTAAGGTTGAGAATTAAATTAATAGTAACATTCTGAATTATAAAAGTTAAGAAAAAAATCCTGTCACCTATAATAAATTAGACATAAAATATGCTACACATGCTTCCCAGATTTATGAGCTAAAGAAGGTTGAGATGATTAACAGCACGCTTTACACTTATAACAATAATTATGTGGGCTGGGGATTTAGCTCAGTGGTTCTGCCACCTGCCTTGCAAGCTCAAGGACCTGAGTTCAATCCCAGTACCAAGCAACAACAACAACAACAACAATAATAATAATAATAATAAAAATAATAATAATAATAAAACAATCATGTATAAATCTAACAATGTTTTCAATTTATTTAAATCAAATGACAAGATACTCCTATTTGTGTTCTGAAACAATTAAGAAATATAGCATATAACAGCACTGAGGGTTCAAAATAACACCTCTATACCAAAAAGACTGAAGAGGAAGGCATAGAGTGTCAAAGAACATTCAGAATGAAAACCAAATGGGATACATAACCCCCAAAAGTAGATAAAATTCCTACTCTGTGAATTCAATCTTCATAATTTATCAACCAGATAAAACATTTCAAAAACCTAGGACAGAGTAGCTAAAGAAGTAGATCCAGTTTGAGACTTATAATAAATAATTCCCCAGGAAAGAAAGAGAACTGTTTATCTCAAATCACAGGAAAATAACATTAGAAATCAATATCACAATGACTGTGCCCTCCCAAAGTCCCTCCATGCATGGCCAGAACCTGAAAACCACACTTTTAGCATGTTTACATTTAATCATTATATGGAATGTAGCAAAGAAATACTTAGAAGGAAACTTAGTCTTAAACGCTTATGTAGGATGAAAGGTTAAAAATTAGCTATGTTTCAATTCTTTTTTATTTTAAATGGTTTAAGAAACTAGAACACAACCAATGTAGATGAGTACAAACTCAATAACACAGGAAACAGATTATTAACAAAACCAATAGCTTGTTTTTTGACATAACAAAATAAATCACCTTATAGCAAATCAATGAAGAAAAACAGAGCAAAGCCAACACTACTACACATAGAAAAGTTGTGTGGTCTCTGCTGAAAATTTAAACACAAGTGAAGATAATGTTTAGAATATTATAATTTATCAAGATGATAGAAAAGCTATATAGCTATACCATGAATTCTGTAAACATTAAAAATCAAATATATGCACATATATGCACACAATAAAAAACCTGAAGGGGTTTATTTATGTTTTACCAAATGTTAAAGGAACAGATGACTTTTATTTATTTGAAATTCTAAGAATATACCAATAAATTAAATGGGGAGGCAAAAGTACAGAAAAATCTCCTGAGCTCCTATGTTACTATAACCTTGAAATTGAAAAAAAATGAGAAAATGAAAATATGGAAATAAAGTCTTTGTAAATAGGGAAGTGAGGAGGGAGTTAAAGTAGGGCAGGGGAAAGGGGAGAAAATGAGAACCAAGACCTGTCATGTAAAGGTACTGTACTGTACCTTTACAGTAACTGTACTGTAATGTAATGATGAATGTAACTGTACTGAATACCTAAAATGTACCAATAAACTCAATGAGAAGAAAAAGAGAAAGCAATTGAAACCAGTCAATGAAATAAAACTGCCTGTGATAATGTCAAATCCTATAAAAAATTTTATCTCACAAAACAATAATGTCTTTAATATATAATTAACATCGTGACTACTTAGAACATTCTATAAATACAAATCTATCTAAATATTAAAATATATATTATAATTCTATGCATTAATAAAAACAAACAGTACATGAGCTTTAAATGCATGTTGCAAAAGTGCAAAATTCCATCCTCATTTACTGAAAAAGCTTGCAAGACAAACAAACTAAAAGGAAAAATTTTACATTAAAAATGTATGATAACTTACCGACATATTTGGAAGTAGGAAGAGTGTTAAACATTATATTATTTAAAAGCTGATATATAGCTGATAGTATTACTTTTACCAGGAAGACTCATTTATAAAATTATGTTAAGCATAAAAATATCACTGACAGAATGAGGTAAATTACATAAGGAAAAATTATAAAATTTTATTGAAAGGATAAAGAACTAAAACACTGATAAAATACTATAGAATTGTGGTTAAAGATCTTCAATATCAAAAAATCAATTTTACAAAAATTTATCTATAAATTCCATGTGATTTGGGCAGATAACTAAAATAATTTGAAAAATAGATCTTAATTTGGAGGGATTAAAGACCACAAAAGCCTAGAATTTTCTTAAAAAGAGGAAATGAGAGAAATCTGTTGACTTTCATTCCTTTATGTCAAGACTGATGATAGATTTATGTTAATGCTTAGTTACAAAGAATAAACATTAATAATAAAATAATTGCACTAATGAAACAGGATAGAGAATTTCAGGAATGAGTTTTCACACATAGGTAAATGAGAGGGTGAAAGTAGAGGTTGAGTGGATGAATAATGTTGCCTTAATTTTTACTCCATACGAAATTTTCTGAAGTAACCTCAGCACACATAATATAAAACTGTATTTCAAGTAAATTGTCAACCTAAAGGTAAAAAGCAAAGCTGTAAAACATTTAAAGAAAATATGAAAAAATGTTTTTATGAATTCACACTCAAGAAGGATTTTCCAAATATTTTAACACATGAGGGAAACGAAAAGATTAAAAATACATATTAAACTGAAACTTCTACACAGTAAAGTAGATAATAAAAAGGTGACAAGCTGAAAAGCTTTTTTGAAGCCAATTAATTTAAAGGATTATTAGTTTCTAGAACAGCAACTCTGAAACTTTTTGGTCCATCAGAATTCTACAACCTTAAAATTGTTGAGAATCACAAAGAGCTTTTGTGAATTATGTCAATAATAGTACATACATATATATATAAATTACTTAGGTACATAAATGGATAATATCACAAAATTAACACTGGCAAAAATTTTTAATATTTATTAATTTCTTTAAAATAATTATAAATTACTTGTATGTTGCCATAAATATTTCCTGAAAAATCAAACTTTGCCATAACAAAATGAAAATTTCAATGATAACAATAGTCTTGTTTTAGATTTTTGTAAATCTATAAATTCTGACTTAAGAAAGGCACCTGGATTCTCTTATTGTTTCTGCACCCAATCTCATTTTAAAGAATGTATGTAAAGTCACAAATACACAATTGAAAAGAGAACATCCTCACACATATATTCTCTCACACACTCTAAATGTCAAGGTCTTCCATGATTCCTGAATCATACTATGAGAATCACTATTTTATAATAAATCCTCTCAATTTAGCGAGTGAAGACATAGATATAGTCAAATGTGGGATTAAAAGATCAAAATATATAAATAAGCAAATCCCACTCAAATGCCGCAAAATATTTCTTGTAACTCTTTGATAACTTTAGTAATCAAAGAATTTCAATTAAACATGATAAATTAGCTTTTGATGCCCATAACAATGATAAAAATTTAAATCCTGGCATTTAAATCTGTTCATGAATATTTAGAACAGTGGTAATTGTCTACTACTGGTAGAATAAAAGTAACAACAATATTTAGTAAAGTTTCATCTGTCTGTGCACTCAGTGATATTTAGACATTTCCCTTCTAAATATGAATCTAAAAATATACCAATGACTTTAATGAGATTGACCAACATGGCATTGTTTTAATAGCAAAAACAGAACAATATAAAGAGGACATCACTGACTATATTGTAGTAATTAGTACAGTGGGTTTCTATGTGGCAGTTAACTTGACCATATCTACATAAAAATCACACAGAAATATTTCCTCTGCAACATTGGCTAATAAAATTTTAGAATAATACAAAGTCCCGGTTTTGAAATTGCAATGGTAAAATATATATCATTTGTGCATATGTATATATATATACATATATATATATGTATATATATATATATGAGAAAAGGCATTACACAGAAAGTCACACATTTGTGATGATATATATTGCTGGAAAAGGGAAGGACGTAAGATTGGAAGGAAGATAATTACATGTCAAGTGTATATCTTTCTTGTTTTATCCAACAAGCAAATGACAACTAAAGAGATATGGCCAAATGGTAATATTTGTTATATGACTGAAAATGTTAATGATTGAATATATACTTTCAGTTCTTCTCCATAACTACCTATATGTTTCTATTTCATAATACTTTAAAGACAAGCCACTCATTGCCCACCAAGTGGGCAGGTCAGTCGAGTTAGGGTAGTGTGTGTCTGTCCAGGTCTGGTTCACCATGTCGAAGATTTCCTTTAAGATCATGCTGAGGTCGAACCCGAGGCTGCCCTATAAAGTACTCAGTATTCCTGAAAGTACAGCTTTCACAGCAGTCTTAAAGTTTGCAGCTGAAGAAGTTTAGTTTCCTGCAGAACAAGTGCAATTATTACCAATGATGAAATAGGGATAAATCCTGCACAGACTGCTGGAAATGTTTTTCTAAGGCCTGGTTCAGAACTGCGAATTATCCCTAGAGAATGTTTTGGAAATTGCTAATGCCTGCTACTGAGAGCATAAAGTTACCTCCCAGAAAAAAAAATGCAATTTTTATTTTGGTTGTAGAGGTGAAATAAGGCATTTAGCATACGATGAAAACACCAATGAAAGGTGACTCTTTTGTCCCTTTTTCTTGTTCATACTCTTCACTGGAAGAGGAATGGTTATGAATGGGCAGTACGACCACCACACAAAATTATACAGTAGTTGACTGCTGCCTCACAACACAAGTAGGGAGTTCGTTTGTGGCAAATGAATTCTGCAACTGCGTTTTTTACCTGGAATATAACTCTGATAATTTTTTCCTGAGAACACTTGGAAAATTAAAATCTCCTGAGTGTTACATAGTTGTCTTTGAGTTAAAAGTGTAGAAGAATGGATTATAGATCATAGATGGCAGTTTGCTTTTAGCATCTTATAGACTCACATATAGTTTGATTCTTAAATATACATTTCATGGTAAATGTAATAGGCACGCCAATGAATACTCCACTGTACCATTTACATTTTAACTTTTCAAACTTAATGTCATTTAAATTTTAATTCAATACTAAAGAATCAAAACTTTAATTTCTTGATCTAACCATTATGTGTATAAACTAATGTCCCATACCAAATAGTTTAACAGTATTCTTACAGAATCCAATATTTGTCATGGTGGGAGTTGACAACATAGTAAAAGTATCCTTTGCTGAGTTATACATTTCTTTAGAATTATGTGTCTCTATCAGTTTCTTAATGCAATATTTTATGACAAAATCCCTTCAGAAATAGCTTTTTGAAGATATTATTTATGAATAGCATTGTTAAATAATATTGTTAGTCTAACAATCGAAAGCTCAGCACAAAGCTTAAAGAAACGTTGATCAGAAAGGCTGATGAGTTCTGTTTGTTGAAGACCTAACTTTGAAGGAAGTGCTAACATTAGTCACCCAAGTGGATAAGAAGCCAGGAAAGGGAAGCTAGGGAAACTCGGGTGACCAGGCTGAGATGAGATGAGAAGCAAGGACAACAGTAAAGAGTGACAGAAAACTGTCACAAAATGTGACAGAAAGTGCCAAGGGGACGAGCAGAACCATAGAGGGTATGTTAGAAAAACTAAAATGGAAAACAAACTACGCAGTCTTAGAAAGCAAACAGTATTTCTTGTCCACATTCAGACTTAAAAATATTCATTATGAATATTCAAAAAATGATGTCAGTAATTAAAGAGCGTATTTGTGCTTACAGAGGAAATCAGTATCTGTGCACAGTTGGAAAGGTGAATTGCAGGCTCATAGTGATTTCAAATTAGTGTTTGACTTACTGTGTTATAAATGGGGAACTCTCCAGAGCAGGGGCTTTGTCTGTCTACTTCTTTTTAGAGCTGGAAAGGTAGACACCATCCTTGCTGTTACGGGGCCCGGGTTCATTGAGGAAAAATGCTACAATGAAATGCAACAGAGTCAGCATCTCAAGGGCAGCATGAATACTTTAAGAAATTAACAGTCATTTTTCATAAATCTGACGAACAAATAGCAAGATTTTTCAATTATCATTGGAAAAGTTTTGCTAAAAAATATACTACTATGTTTAGGATGTTTTTATTTTTAATTTTAAAAATCTGATGCTCAAAGGTTCCTGTTAAGCCTCAGTTGACTAGCTATTTCTGAATCCCCAATCCTTGAATTTTTGGCTTAATTTTTTTCCCATTTTTCTAGCACAAAAGTCTCTTTGCTGTTTGCATATACAAGTTTGTGATGTCTTCTGCCATAAAGTGATTTAATACTTCAATTCTTTAGTTTTGAAAATTAGACTACAATCTTAAAAGTATTTTGTTAAACAACTAGACATTGTATTGATAAATAAATGTGGTCTAATAAAAAGACAAGCCATGAAATTAAATTACAAACTCAGGTTCCCACGAGGTCATGTGACAGCAGACCTAGAAAATTAGTTAGTAATTAGGTGTACACCTGTAATTTTATAGCATTTGCATAGCAACTTCCAGACACTAAATTGACATTTGAGTCTTCAGAAAAGGATTTATCACGTTTCAGTTGTTCGTAAGCATTTTGTTAATTGTTTGTGCCCATGGCTGTCCTGGGCTCCCAGGTGCTTTTGCTAATGTTTGTCACCTCCCTGCAGATGGACAGTGCTATGAATACAAGTGGATGACAAGTACGTGGAAGGGCTCTTCCAGGAGAGTCTGGTGCCAAAGGTCAGATGGTATAAACGTAACAGGTAAACTTCCAGTGTCTCTTTCATCTTTGAAAGTGTTAATAAAATAATGAAGGAAACCAGCATAGTGTTTTAGCATTCAACACAGGGTTGAGATTAGGATACTGGAGCTGTATTTGTATCTGATAACCAGTGTCAAATTGTTTTATATTATAGTGCTTCAAATTCTGCCTTCTGTAGTACTTTTAGACATTGATGCTAGAATTTATTAAATGAAAATTATAACTAATAAATTATCATTAGAAGTAATTTCATATTGAATTATAAATTGTATATTTTCACAGCCTACTATATGTTTTTTAAAAATCAGTGTTTCTATTTCTACTGTATGCTTTAAAGGTAATACAAATGCCAGACAAACATATCACCAAAGGTGTATGACTATATAAGTCCAAATAACTTGCCTAAATTAAAAAATTTGTGATTGAGAATTTTTATTAAATAATAGGTAACACTTACTGGTAATTTTCAAACCCAGAACAACTGAAAAGCTCATTTACCATGTCTCCACAATACACTATTACACTTCCAAAGAATAATTGCAGGTTTTTTTTTTAATTATGCTTTGACCTACATATACTTCCAAAGAGCTACAGTTACTAAAATATCTCTGTGTGATTCCAGTAAATGCAAGAGCTCCCAAGGATCCATTAAAGGGGAAAGAAAACTTAATACCAGATTATGTAGCAAATCACTCTGCATGTTTCCTAAAAAGGAACAAAAGCCAGAGCTAGAACCTCAACCTCAGATATATAGATCCAAAAATTTCTTTTTACAGATCTAACATACAGGAATCTCTGTAGCACAGTGGAAGCTGGAGTATTGACAGTTAATTTCGCAGGGCACCTCCTGACTTGCTGCTGTTCTGACCCTCCTGCAGAAAGGAAAAAACAGCAAGCATTTGGATGCCCCTGAGTAACGTCCATTTATAATTTAACTCTAATATATACAGGTAGATAATATGATCCAAGATCAATATACTTTTTGAAAACCATCAATTTTATATTTAATTTTAAATTAAATGGATTATTTATGTCCTCCTATGAAAGCTGAAACATTTTGTCATATTCTGTTCTTGTGAAAATATGTTTTTTCACATGAGAAAGCAGTACCAAAAACCCTTGAAAATAGCATCTCCCGGTGTATATACATGTAGCAAAGGAAAGACATATCAGGAAACTTTCTCCACAGCATTTTTAAGGGGAGAAAAATCTGAGCCCCACTCTAAGAAGGCTATGATGAGAAGAGCCTTAAACAGGTACACACAGCTTTCTGAGTCAGAAGGTGTTATAGAAGTAACCCATTTAATTTAGAAATTGACAATAGATATCTACATTCTTTTTTAAACTATTCTGAGGGAGTTAGACTTACTCTGAGGATCCTATTAGTTTTCCATTTTTTAAAAATATGTAGCAAATAACATTTGTCCACTTTTCTTTGTCCATACGAAGTCCCTTTAACACTACAAATGGGGCTCTAGCCAATGCAAAGTCAAACTCTGAAGACTTACCTCAAGAAATTATATTTTAATAGTATATCCAATGTATTTATTTCTTTGTAGTACCATAAATCCATTATGTGAATAATTTGTGATAAGTTCTATATCCATTCTTATTCCATCTTTAAGGAAAGATGATATTCTTTATGCAAAATAGACAAGGGTACTTTAATTTATAAATTGTTGTTATAAGAAACTCTGAACATTATTCTCCATTTTTCATGTCTTTAATTATAAGATTTATAAAGCCACCAAACTTAAAATTGCCGTGCAACAACTGCTTTTCCATAACAATTTTTCCATGAATATACCATACTCGTAATATTGAAAGATAAAGAATTAATAGTTTGTACCTTTGTTCAGATGCAGAGGATTATCAACTCCATAATCAAATAAAATTATTTTCTTGCTAAAATTCTGATAAACTGAGCAAGTATAGTTTGAAAGTAAGTACCTTCCATGTTACCAATGTTTTTCTTAAGATAACTATTCACATCTTAAAACATCTCTTACAACAACTAAAGCAGTAAAACAAAGAAGAAGGAAAGAGGGATAAATACCTATATTATAAAGTTTAAAATAGCACAAACAACTTGATACCTATATTTGTTTCATTCTCTATACCACCAAAATATCCTGAGTTAATAGGAATGGTGATAGTTCTAATAAAGAATTATTTATCATAAAAATACATTTACACGGTGGTCACATAAAGTAAAGAGTTATTACAAGGGAATAAAAACTATTATTTTAAATAATCAATTAAGAATTTTGGTTCAATCCCTGGGGTTGGCTTGAGGAACAACTAACAGGAATGGGTTGGGCAGCAGCTACTCTTTTCAAGATAGCAGCTATAAAATCTTCCTTCTGACAAATGAATATTGATGCCTACTAAATTCCAGGTGCTGTGTTGTCATTTCTGGGTAAGAAAGACCTCAGGTTGTTATGTAAAGTGGTGAAAGTTAACCAAATATTTTACAGACAGAAAAATCCTTGGGATTCACAGAGTTGAAGATTCAAAGACAAGTTTATAATACCAACGATATATTTTTATTATAGCAAGAGGTGCTATTTGTCAAAATGTGGTTTTTTGTTCTGCAGGGGGCTGCCTCGCGATGAGCCAGCCAGATGCTGACAGGTCTTGTAACCCTCCATGTAGCCAACCCCATTCGTACTGTAGCGAGGTAGGTGGAAAACCCAATAGGACGGACAAGAGGGCTGCTTTGTCATCCTGCTGTCTCTCACGCAGTTAATTCTTCTCCCCCTGTAAAAAAGCACATCAATTCAGGACACATTTACCTTTAAAATAACTGCATAATACAAAAGATAGGTTCGTATTTCTCTTAATATAGTTAAAACAGAAATTACATGTGCTGAATTTTTTTAAAAAATCTTCTCAGGACCGGGGATTTAGCTCAGTCATTCTGCTGCCTGTCTCACAAGCACAAGGTCCAGAGTTTGATCCCTGGTTCCAAAAAAAAAAAGTTAAAAAAACCTTCTAAAGCTTCCCCTTTTAAG